GCCCCGAGTTCGGATTGTAAATGACAATTAATGTGTTGTTTAACCTTATGAGCTGGGGTTACAATGGCGGTTCATGATGATGCTTTAATATACAATTTTAAAATTTTGCTATTCTTAGCGACATCGAGTATGAATTATATTTCAATTCTGTTTAATTCTGTGAGTAAATGGTCAATGTCAGTTTTTGATTTAAATGTTCAACTTCACCCCTCTACACTTTACTTAAGTATGTTTCTGTTCAGGAAAAACTAGTTTGGTGTTTGCTTTGAAGGTCTTAAGTCTTTGTAACCATACAGAACACTTTTACAGTATTTACTTTGTCGCTCTAGAGGTTTTTGTGAATGACAATGTATTAGTCTTACCTGTACGTCCGGTGCTTGCTTATCGCACCTGTAAACAGGTCAAGATAAGGACAATGCTGACAATGTGTGGTCAACTTAAAACATAAGTATATGTAGGTTTTAGTTAGTGTTACAAATCACATTCACTTCATTACCATAATTGCTTTTTCCTTTTTTTCTCTCTTCATATCCCCATTATTATTTTTGAAATAACCCAGTTGCTTAAAAATGGAAGCTTCCGACTGCACGAAAAAGATATATGTATGGATGTGTCTTATCGAGAATACATGTGCGATCAACTTCCAATTCGACTTTCTGCTAACAATTCTTTCGCATAAAGTGTTTATTCTATCAGCTAAACCCAGAAGTTGATTCTACATACAACAGACAAGGTCTTTAAATGATGTTTACAAACAATGAGATTGAAAGGCCGTGACTTTTCATAAAATATTCTTGAACGCTACGTGAACACCGAGTGATTTTGTTAGCATAAATCATTTCTTACATTTCCTCTAAATATTAACACAATAAATATACATATTTTTATCTTTTCAGAAAGATCCTGTCCCAACAAACGCCACAGTGAATACACAGAACGAAGAACAAATTGAGCAAGGTGTGAGGTGAGTAGTGCGCTTGGATACAATATATACAATATAGGCTTAGTATAAATCTTGTAAATTGAAATATATTCATTTCAGTGAAGCTATTGTTGTCGAGCACAACGAGTTTAGTTCGTTTCATTTAATGTTCCGCTTCACATATTTTATAGTCCAGTGTTGATATTGATGATATTTGTTTGCATTTCATGTATATTGTTCCGAAAGTCAATTTCTCTTATTCGTACTTCTATATCCATTAGCATGTCTGTGATCAGGCCGTGTGAATGCACACCATGGAAGTCTAAAACATATATATTAATAACTTTAAAATTGGTTCTCACGAAAAAACATAAATGCGTCTTGGGAAATGATGTAATTCAGGATGTCAGCCGTAATGCGTTATCCACCATCTCGATTTCCTGAACATCCGGATGTACACAATCACATGTCATTTGTAATAATTGTGTTACCAACATGGGAAAGAAACGCGGAAGTAATAATGGGCTTCCATGACGTTTGTGACCTTCAAATTTAAAAACGTTCACTATGTAAAATGGAACACAGAATTTAAAGATCCACTATTGTAAATATAGCGGATGAAATCACTCGCTGATATTTCGATTTGAATACATTTATGAAATAAAGTATTTTTACAGAGATTGCACATGATATATATATTGCATTTATAAAATGTACCATCTGTTTCTAGATCAGCCATCTACGATAAAATTCTTCACTAACTTCACCAATACATGCATAGCATTGATGTTATTTCTTTGAAGATACGCTATATGACGAACACTGAACAGTGTGTCTCACTCGTGGAGCGCAGCCAGTGATATCTTTCTATAAATAGAAACGACATAAGAGTATGTTTTGTATTAATGGTTTGAACATCCTAATAACTTAAAGTTTTCATAGTAAAACCTTCCCCTATAGCTGGGATATATAATTACTGATACTGAACACTCCACCGATAAAAACATATATTTATTACCAAGCAATACCTAGACTAGAAGAATCACAAAACTCGTGTGTTTCTCCTGCAGCTTCGGGAAGTCAGGTAGAACGACACTCATCTTTTCAGTAAATATTCATCGCAAACACAAAGCAATAAAATTTTAATAAAAGGATGCATGTTTTAAAAATTAGATTCAATAATGTACGAGAAAGCTCGTCGTCGCTATAAGGTTGTTATGTTGACATTTTAAGACGATCGATGCGTTTAACAAAGAATGATTTTTATTACACTCCAAAGTTAATTTTGCTTAATCTGTATGTGGTAAACACCTGATGCAAAACTTATAAACTTATTTCTTTACATCGCAGTTTATTTTTCCACTCAATATACTACAATACCATATTTTAAAATAAAATAACGCCTTCGTTCTCTTGTTATGGGAACTTTCTTTTCCACTACGTGAACTGTTGTTTGGGAAAAATACGTCCATCTTGGTTGACAATATTTCTGTCGAGTTAGATGGTAAAATATTCCAACATACTATTTGAACTAATTGTGCCGCTCTGCTGTCTGATTTGTTTTTGTTTTGTTTTGTTTTGTTCATACGAGGTTTAAGACATTAAAAAGCGTATCAAAACATGTCAAAATCCTTTTAAAGTCGTTTAATTTCACTTTCTGATATACTGATGACGTGTTGTTTTTGAAAAGCGAGAAATGCATTGACTACAACCATCGTATATACCACCGGAATTGGGAATCAAAGACACGACAGACTCTTCTACATATGTCGCTTATCTCGAGTTTTTCGTACAATGAAACCAAAATAAACAATTTCCCTCAGGCTATATGATAATCGTGATGATTTCCCGATAATGAATTTCCTATTTCTAAATAGCAACACGCCTGCATCCCAAGTATACATGTCGCTGTTGATCGATAGTGAAATGCCTGTTCCAATTATCATGGTTTTCGTGCAAGGAGTTATCAACGATGGACAAACTCGTAAAGCTAGTAGTCTACTACAAGGTTTCAAAATATGGTTGATAATGATTATGAGGAAGTCCTCATAGTGATCTCATAGAGAATTATTTTGTTGCTTTGTACCACATGAAGCTAGATGCGTATGTTTGCCTTTTGAGTTCGTTGTTGTATACCTTGGTCTCATTTGAGTACATGGCATTACTTACCTGAGTTGACTAAATTTTGCATGGCGGGGTCGTCGATGAAGCATAAGACGCTTACTCCTCCGGAACACCTTATCTAAATTTCCTTGTACGTTTTCAGGAATCACCAAGTAAATATCTCTTTCGTTCATTAGCTTTATTGAATGTTAGTTTGGATTATAATTGTCTTGAAATGTTCGTATTTTCTTGTTGTTTTAAACAAAAACAAAACAAACAAAAAAAAAAAAAAAAAAAAAAAAAACTCGGAAAGAAATGGAGTACCATATAAGAGCATAGGATAAACATACGGATGCTTTTTAAACTTCGATATTCTGAATCGCAAATTTGACATGCAAATTTTGGTCAAATATACTTATCTCGCATTTTCGTTATGTGAACCGTTGTAAAGTAATATCGAAATTTAATTTCACAATAAGAAATATTACGCACTCGTATCTGGCAAGTGACAACAGAACTGGACTAAATCAGTAATACTTATTTTTATTTTGAAAATTCCCCATACATTACATTGTGTATACGGAAAAACAATTTATCCAGCGGAACTCTAGTTGTATGTTAGTTTGAAAGATGTGTTGTTTTTATTTTTGAATCATCTGCAAAGATATGACGCAAATATCGCTTTTTTGTTTCTCACTCATTGGTATGTCTTCCGATTTGCCATTGAGAAACTACAGCTTCCACTTCATTGCTGATTGCGAACTTGTTGTCTGCCGTCGCCTTTTTTTTTTTTTTTTTTAATCGATTTCGAAGGAAAATCGAAACATGATTATATAATATTCCTTTAATCCCATGTGTCCCTGCAATGCTACTTCTACGTGAACTTCCTGACAATTGTTTACACACGGAAGTTAAATGATGTTGCTAAGAACTACATTATTGTAGTGTATTGTGATCGCATGAGGAATATAACAAACAATCGAATAAAAACTAAACAGTGACATTAACATTATAGATTAAAAATTCTACACAAAATCGCCTCGCATCTACACATTAGGTGTCCCTGTGTGTGCATGTTTCAACACCATTCCTTAAAGGCTCAAAGCTGTTTATCATATGACAAAGACGAAGAAATCTCTCGGCAATCTTAGTCTACAATTTGGCAATTTAGGTTTAGGTGTATCTATCCCGGGTGTTATGAATTCTGAGGCATCAAGATTTTTGGTTTTTATTGGCATGTGGTTTTTATTTCCTGTTTTTGTTTTTAATTCGAAAGAAAAAATCCAATACCCAGTTCATGAAAGTGAAATTAGAGTGTAAACATAACCATGCTTTTAAGTATTATATATGCATCTGTTTCAGATTCCAGAATCGACAAATTATAATTTCATAAATGTTTTCATGCTGAAATTTGACGTTATCACTTCACTATCGTTACGTATGGTTAATATTATCAGCACCATTAGCTGCCCTCTGTGACCTTAACTGTTGCTTAAGTAATTTGATATGAGAGAAGCAGACCTCATTCATGTTTGTGTGTAGCGTAATAACTGTACGCATTTAACGTGTCCGTAAGTACACTGACATACATTCCTGCATCCGAAAGTGTTTTTGTTATCTGTTTGCGGTTAATTTGCTATTGATGATGCTGAACTTTATATAGTAGAGGTGTACCTTGTTTATTAACGGACTTCGTGACTGCGCATAGAGGTTACTGGTTAGTAACACTTATGATTAGCTAATTAATTCACAGATGATGAACCTTAAGTATAAACTATCTCTGTTTACTGCCTTCGTGACTGTATGATAACTTATTTCTTTATTTATAGGGGGAAACAGTTGTGGATCGACACAGAAGGACATTGGTACTGATGTTTGGGCTGTTGTATCTGATAGTGTTAAATATAACAGCAGAGTGTGGAGACGACCGGTATCAATAAAAGCCTGCTGCTGACACTGACAGCAGCTGATAATGATGATGATGGAGCTAAGTGACAGAATGGAGAATGTGTCGAGGGACTATCTCGGCCTGGTTGACAAGGTCAATGATAAACTAAGGACACTCAGGGCTGACCTGGTGAGTACAAGAATGTGTCCGTCTACAAAATAAAACAACGCGCTTAAGAACTTAAATGTACTTAAAAATTGATTACTGATAGTTGATACGTAACATTCTCAAGGTTAATGGGTACAATATAGAACGAACATGAATTGTCAGTTAAGCTGTTCAATATTTTTATTGTATTTATGACGCTGAATTACATGTTCTTACTTGAGTTTTGACGAAAACATGAAAAGACCTCAACGAAGTACAGATTTTAAAACCTTTTCATTGGTAGAGTGATTGTTTAAGGATGAAAATGTAGCGATGAATTCTGTGAATGTTCTGTCTCTATTGCACGACCCGTTGTGGCTAGTTATAAAAAAGCGAACAACATTTGGACGGAATTTGAGATCATATCTGATGATTGTATTATTTACTTATCTATCTTATTTAAAATACTATTATTTTAATTTTAATTTGAACTGACTGACGTTGCAAAATTTGCAAGATGAATGCAGTTCCATTTACAACAGGAACTGTTGCATTGCGTGCATCTAGATAAAAACCGATTGGTAAATCAATATAAAGTCACGAGTCTCGCAGGCGAAAATCCCAAAGAACAAGAAGGACATATTAAGAACACGATTGATTTCGGCATTACTGCATGAATATCTTACAATCTATTTCGAATTTAAATAGATCACGAGATGTGAAATTGAATGTTTATTCCACGGGATTATGATTAAGGAGTTCAGTAGTAGGATTAGATCTTTCGCCTTTGGCACTTAATTTGTTCTAGGCAAGCTCTGATACTTCATGCTGTTTATCGGCTTAAAAGATGATGAATGTGCTTAACTGCTGTTGTCGAACGTTATGGGAATGTAACATTTCTTTACAAAACATACACTAATAATTGAAATGTTTGAATAAATCAACTACTTTTTTCATAGAGTATAAAGTGATCCATATACCTACTGTCCCTTTTACCTATTTTGAACGAATCTAATTTCAAGCAAAGAGGAACTAGTAAATTGAAAACTTTGAAATTTGGTTAATTTTATAATCCTAGGTTTCAAAATTAAGTCAAAAGCTTTACTGACGGGTCCTAGAAGGACGAAACAGTTGTATGATGTAGCATCACTGACGGGTCCTAGAAGGACGAAACAACTGTATGATGTAGCTTCACTGACGGGTCCTAGAAGGACGAAACAGCTGTATGATGTAGATTCACTGACGGGTCCTAGAAGGACGAAACAGTTGTATGATGTAGCATCACTGACGGGTCCTAGAAGGACGAAACAACTGTATGATGTAGCTTCACTGACGGGTCCTAGAAGGACGAAACAGCTGTATGATGTAAGCATCACTGACGGTTCCTAGAAGGACGAAACAACTGTATGATGTAGCTTCACTGACGGGTCCTAGAAGGACGAAACAGCTGTATGATGTAGATTCACTGACGGGTCCTAGAAGGACGAAACAGTTGTATGATGCATTATTTGATTTGTTATTCGGTCTACATTGATATTACGATGTTCTCTTCCCTTGTGTCTTTTAACAATCTTTACAAGGCAAAGGATATGCCAAATGTATTTCTTTTAATGTGTAAGCATCGACGAAAATGGAGAGCGATATGCCTTAAAATAATAGAACGGAATCGTCTTATGAGACAAGATTGTTAAATATCAGTTCCTCTTAAATTAGTCTATACATATTATTACAATATTATATATATATAAAGTATCATAATTTCACTTCTTCGATGGCATTGTCACTCTGTCAAAATAGAAATACATCACAATACCTTGTGACGTCACTCCACGAAAGGCAAGTGCAATTGTACCATGAGCTGCACCTCCCCGTCTAAATTTTTACTTTTCTTTCGGTCCGTTTGGATTTTCCTTAGCCGCCTTCTAGGCTTGAAAATTTTAGTCTCTTAGCATTACTGACGAGTCCGAGAAATACGAAACAGCTGTATGATGCAGTTCTGCTCTATTGTATCTAACTATAAATTATTTAAAAGTGCTTTTCACTTTTGTGTCTTTTGAACAATCTATGAGTACTTAAGCATGACCTGTATGGGACCATAATTCACAATGTAATTTGAATATTTACAAATTCTTGTTATTGAAATTAAGTTGATAACTTCCTCACAAACGAAGAAAATTTCTAAAAATATCCATCTCGAATAGATTATCTAATACATGTGTCTTTTGCCTATAAACCTGATTGTATAATTCATTCATGATGCAGTTTTTGTGGCATAAAACATATATCGGCTCTGTGTTAGTGTATCAACATGTGGCTTATATCACTAAATCTGTAGTGTTCGCTCATTAGTTGGGGTATAATGCAGTGATGCATGGATATACAGCCTGCCTCTGATGTTTGTTACATAACCATCCCATAAACCCAATTTTATGATGATCGGATGGTCTAATGGCTACCACCCAACAACCCAATACCAGGAATCAGAATACACTCCTGATTGATATGTATTATTAGAAGATTGTCCATATTGTTGTTCAATCTACAGTGAAAGAAAGGAACTGAATGTTGGATAAGCAAACAAGATTAGTATCCTGTTGTAGATATTTTCCCCACTCATATCCAAAGAATTCGCTGAAAACCGCACACAATAATTGTAAAGTTGTATGCGCTGTATTGATAGATACGTCTGTAAGACACTTTTGTAAACGGAGAAATTGGCAAGGTTTGCATTTTCAAGGACAGCATACTTAAGTCCGCCTCATTATAGACTACCGACATGTAATTTCAGTTCTCGTTATTATTTCTTTCATACGTACGTTATTCTCTGAAGAGGACTGTATTACATAATGTTTGGGGCGACACAACAATGAAGTTTGTAAAGTACAGTATAAGTAAACATCAGACGAAATTTTCTGTTTTAAACAAGACACTTCCGCTCAGTGCTACGTTTAGCGATCTTGTTTATAGTGCACTTTAAACCGTATTGTTCAATAAAATGATTTTTAAAATGTCAAGTACTTCTTTTTAAAAAAACTTAAATATAGATTTTGAAAAATTTTAAACAATAGTGATGTTGATTTTGAGACTTTGGTGTTTGGTTGAAAAAAAAAAAAATTTAAAGTTTTAAACGGGATTTAAAAATTAACCTTCAAACATTTATGACTAAGCTTTCAACAGAGTGTAACCAAATTGACTTTCCCGGGATACTAGCAATATATTGTGGATACTTAATGCACTCATGGATGATTACCTATAGCCTTGTTTCACTATAATTCTATCACCATATCTCGTCACACCACCTTTCAACCTGGTGAAACAATATTATAGCCGATATATCGCGTGATTTCATTGCCAAATCATACGATATATCTCAGTAGCCATTTGTCTGATGAATATGACAATGAAGACATCGAAATTATTCTGTCTGGTTTTGATGTATAAACGTCTATTGAACAATTGATGTGGTTGATAAACCACAGTAAATATATATATATATGTATCATACATTTTCACGAGCGCTGCATAAAGTAAGTGAATTAGTAACACAAACATGCGACAAAGTTCAATAATCAATATGCACAGAGGGTTAAACATAGTTGAACATATCCATTAAAACGCCTGCATGAAATGAGCAGACATATCTGTTTCGTGTTTTAAACAGTATTTTTGGCAATCATCACAAAGCAATTAACACTACGTGGGTCAGTGTCTGCTAGTTTCAACACTGCCGTAGGTTAAGAGCCAAGTTTATCCCTGTGAAAACTCGACACGAGACTTGGGGGAATCCACACGGTTTGTGGTGTTTACATTATCTAATTACCAGGCAATAACAAATGTAACATGTAGCCAAAAATTTGTTATTTCCACTCAAAGACCGAGTTCATACTGATACACATTTTGCTTTTCTTATTAATCTAATCAAATAACGATTTCCTTTGGATTTTAAAACTATGGACTATGTCTTGTAAATCACTGTCTAGACTATGCATTGTCCAGATCTCAAAGGTACATCGACTTCGTTAATTTCTGCTAATAAAGATATTTTTTGTTCAAATGGGTACATGGTGTTTTCGTTTTATGCAATTTTTTTTACTAAATGATGCGTGTTGCATTCTTTGTTTGCCATGTGTACAACCTGTATAACTTCAACATATTTTTTATATCTGTTTGCAGTGGTATTTTTTCCACATTCTAAGACGTGTGGAATTCGTTGTCATGTGTTCGTGTAGATATATAGGCATGTAGATATCAATTCTGTTTTGAACTTTAAAAATAATATTTATTTTGTTTATAAATATGATAAAGACATGCCACCTTCGACTTGCCTATGTTTAAAAGGGATCTCTCTTCACTATGAAGAATTCTTCGCTGCATTCCCACGCTGCTTAACAGAGGTATATTAGAACTATAAAATGCATTTCACTTAGCGTAAACCAGATGAATGCATTGGGTTGTTATTTGAAAGAAAAAAATACACAAAAGGCACATTATTATCAACATTGAATGGATTAACCTTATCAAGTTTGTGATGGTGAAGGCTGTGTAGAGGAGATATATTGACTTGTGAAGATTAAGTCTTAAAGCTTTTCGTTATTTCTGTAGAAGTTGATGGAATTTCATTTCCTAACCCTTTAACCGGGTCCCGATGTTTCAAGATATAACGAGGATTACAACGTCACTGCTGGCATGTTATGTATTCCGGAATGCTAATTAATGCCTTAACCTCACGTGCAATTAATTATGTAAATACAAAAGTATGACGAGGCAGTTTGTGTTGTTGTTAGGATAGCATTATAATGTAATGTTTTCATAATAAAAATAAGAATGTTGATGTCATTCTTTCCAGAAATACATAATTAAAATATTTGACACAAGCGAAGCGCAAATACGACAACGGACCGTCAGGGAGTGTTCCGTTGAACATTTAGTGAACACTAACAACACATATCTTTTATTAAGCTTTTGAGAAGTACGTGAAAATAAACCTGTTTCCTTTTTGTATGAATGCGTACATACGGTACAACACACAATGAAAGAAAACGTACAATGCATTATAATAAGCAAAAGATGGAAAAATACATTTGTATATCAATGTGGGAAATTGATTATTCAGTTTTAAGTGTTTCATAAGCTGATTTCAGTGTGATTTAAATAAATAAATTGATGATGTCATGGTCCTATATATAGATTGTAGTTATGTCCTAAGATCCCTAACAAATGGTCACAGTATCATTGATATACATAATGTCAATTACAAGTCCCGCTGGTTTCGGTTGTAACTATGTTAAAATAAATTGTCTTCGCGTAATTGTTGCAGTAATTACTCGCTTCTGGTTTTAGATTCTATTCATCGACACTTAAAATTGTTGACAAGATCGCGAGCTATGTCACGGTTCCTTGTTTAAACGATACAGTTACGGCATCATGAATTTATCGACTATTTACTCCACCGAACATAAGCAACTTACCAAGGAATAATATCCGGTATGCAGCGTGGTACTGAAGGAAAAACTAGCCGATAGGTTTGTGTTGATTTCGATTGTGAACCACGGAATGAAACCTCCGAGTTGATAAGAAGTGCAATAGCGTATAATTCAGTAAGTAAACTTTGTTCAACAAACCACCTTGTCAAATAATCGAATTTAGTCAAGATAAACTTCAATCAGCTGTTCTTTAGTCACATAAAGCTTTCTTCAACGTTCTTCCGCTGTTAAGGTTTCCGACTCATTTAAAAAAAACTTTTGAATGAAATCTAACGAAAGTTTACATAAATGTCTTGGTATGAAAGGCGGTTTACAAGATTTGTTTCTGGGTCAGTCATTTTCCGGTTAACCGCGGTCGTGTGGTCAGAATATGGCCAAATTTTATTTTGGTGAAAAAATAACACACACACAAAGGTGTCAACCATTTTCTGATTCTACAAATTGACCGCAACATGGCGACTTGTGATTGTTGAAGTGTAGATGTCCGTTGTTTAAGAAAACTGGTATATATCATTGTATGATTTAACAAAGTGGCCGCAGAGGTGGGCTTCTGACTGGTTGAAATTTACATATTGTCCTATTTTGATAGAAATTGGTACATAAGTGTTGTCTGACACGAATAACATAACAATGATATTCCTTTCCTTATCGAAAAATATTGGCTTCCTTACAGATACAACTGATGATGTGGTGAAATTCAATTATTGTTCGATTTGATCACATATCGTTTCAATCCTTACCTAACACCATGTGCTTTAATTACGACGGCGGGGGTGTTTGGCAAACTTATGCAACGGTCCTAGTTACAATACGCACTTGTTCAAATTCCTTTTTGACTCCATCCTTTCTTGAGGTGTTTACTACCACAAGCAATGAATGTTATAGGATTATAATACCACTTGGTAAAATATTCTTGGCTAAGATCAATGTCAGTTTAATTAAGTCTTATTTGATTATGATCTTCATATGTAGTTCACTTTAAGGTACTCTGATCTTTCTTGGCATAGATTCTATATGTGAAGGTTTCCTTGAACGCAATATTATCAAATACTTTCTCAGAGCAAAATAAATTTCGACTGTTATGCGTCACTCGGAAAACAAACAGCAATCTTCCGTTTCTGTTTTTAATGTCTCCGATGTTGAAAACTACCTTGAATCGGTGCCAACATATTTGACATTAACGTACCTAGGGACCGTCAATATCACGTGACCAGTCACACAAGGGTAGTGATGTAAATGACTGCACATATAATATGCACAATATTGTACTGGATTCGAAAGTCAGCATATGTGTGTATTGCAAGTTTACAGTGCAGTAAGGTTGTTTCTTCAATTATCAAGAAATATTACGTGGAAAATGTAGACTTCTTTGGTAAAGTGGTGTTGTACATGGGGGGCATGCCGCTAATTTTTTGTGACATCCGCACCACTGAAATAAATAATAGGATTCGATGTAAAGAGTTTATTTTGTAATCTCTTCTGTTGATTTCCTTTGTCATAAAACGTAAATATCATGTTTATCATCCTATAATCAATTCTTATGAAAGTGAATGGTCCATTACCGACAGTATTTTTCTATGATCCTAGAGAGAAAATGACAACAAATTGAAATAAAACGTAAGAGCCAGGATCCAGTATCAACAACGAATTCGCTCTCAGGTTTATATCTGGTGTAATAGCTTGATATATCTACTCTGTATTATGACCAGTCTATATAGTTTTATTGACAGTACTATTATCGGAAAGTATTTCGCATACCGGTCCTGTGAATATAAACTCATAACACTTCATAAAACTTGTATGTATCATTTGCACAGAGAACGGTTTCAACCATAATTAAGAAAAAAGAGATACATATTCCCCTTGGCATCTTTTCCAGTTCTGTTTTGTTTTTCATTATTGTTTGCTTTTTGCTTTGTTTTGTTTTTGTTTTTGTTTGCTTTTTTTTGTTTGTTTGTTTGGTTTTTTTTTTTTTTTTGGGGGGGGGGGGGGGGGGGGTGGGTTTTTTTTTTTTGTTTATTTATTTATTTTTTTTTTTTTTGGGGGGGGTGGTGGTATTTGATTTTAGCTTTTTGGTATATTTGTCACACATATCCATTTATAACTTCGTAAGACATCGTATCTAATATTATTCTATCTGTATGCATATCTTAGCTATATTCTTATCGCAAATGATTATAATTAATGATTTTTCCTTTATGAATAGTCTAATTCGGAGTAGAGCACCATTTGTGTATTTCTGTATTCTGCGGCTCATGAGATTACGTGTTAGTTTCTGTTGGTATGCTAATCTCTGTAAACATTTATAATTTAAACTGTGCCATTTTCTGTAGATTTCCATGCGTCGACAAGACGTCAAGTTGCTGAAACAGCTCGTGAACATCAATGACGTAATCCAGGCAATGTATCAACGTGCCAAGGAAATTCGAAGTGATGAGGACGAGGACACTGATGAGCTCGAAAACATGCGAACGACAGATGTTTGGCGGGAATCGAGCAGACGAACACCTCTGGTACGTCAACAAAGTGTGCCTTACTACTGCGGAGCACCAAGACCAGTCACCACTACCAGTATAGGAGATAGCATGGAAGGTAAGAATCCAATTTATTTATCATCTTAGTTTAAAAAAACGAGAAATATTTCAGTGAGGTAACATTTATTATCCGTATGCAACGTACACACCTACAAATAAGGCGTATTTTTTTTAGAGTTGGATGAGATCGAGGGAGAAGACCGTCCGTCCCGTCTAATCGATGACGTCGCTGATGACGTTAATTGTCGCCAATGAAAATATTTTTCTCAACCTTTTTTGTTGGCACTGCAAGCGACAAAATGTTCACTTACATAAATGTAACGTTGTATCACAGTAACTGTCTTTCAATCATCAGGCATTGTAATGAATATCATACTTATGGAGTTTCTGCACAGTTGCAGTGAAGGCTTGTTACATTTGTGCGTCACTTTGAAATTTCCTTTCATGACAAAAACATTAATATTATAAACATACCCTTTTATACCAAACTCAAATGTCCCCGGAACTGTAAACTCATTACTCCGATATTGAAGAATGACAATAAACTTCCTTGACTTAAATTTGCATATAAAATGGCGAAAAGGCGATATTTACTTTAATTGTTCTGGTTATTTTCAGGGTTGGACGAGATCGAGGGAGAAGATGACCCGTCCCGTCTAACTGATGACGTCACTGATGACGCAGATAGTTTGTTCTCCAGTACAGGAACGATACCAGTTCCTGTTTTTCACAGACATTACATCCGACAGAGAGCTATCTCCTGTGAAACGACATCAGACGAGCATAATTCGTTAGACGACAGTCATTTTGAAAATATGTTAATGAAAAATATTCAGCTGTGGAAATTTTCGCTACACAAGGATTCTGATAAAGAAGGGAGCGTTTCACAAGTTAGATAACAACAACCGCTATCATCATTTATTGTGCATAAATTATTATCGCTGTATATTTTTCTATTCATATGTATTTCGATATTTAAAATAAAAGTCCAACATAGCTTCAAGTTGCTGCAGCTGAGCTGTTGTCAGTCCAGATGATATCAGGACATATTGCGGTCATGTCACGAACCATAGTAAAGCAATAACTTGTTCTTTTCTTGTGTTTCATTGTCTCTATCTTACAGTTATTAACAGTTTTACGAAGTCGTCGCCATGGTTTTTGAGAACTGAATATGTTGTTGATCATGTGACTCATATTTGTGTTCTATATATATATATATATATTGTAATAGCATTTAAAGGTAATTCTTACATATTTCTTTTATGCAGACATTATCCTAAATGAGATAGCATCTCTTTTCACTCTTTTACCCTACATGTCACTGAAAAATCACCAGGATGGCGCTGTAGGATAAAGTACAGGAAATCCTGACACTTCCGTAGTTAAAGGCTATAGCATCTAGTCGCCTCAGTGGTTGAAATCATTTACAAAGGAACAAAATATTTCCTCTGTAATACTTTGATATTATTTATTGTAATTTTTGAGTTGGTACATGATACAAAAATAACTATTAACATATATCAGAACAAAATACAAATGATTACTGTGTATCCGAGGACATAACGGAAATTGACCTGTAAAACGAGTCACGCTCTAGATGATTTTTTAAAATTAAACCCCAATAGCGTGTAATTAAACCTAAAATAACTCAGACACAGATTTAACTGGTATTATCAAGTAAAAAGGACGAAAATAAATTACCCAAAAAATGCCCAGTATTTCCAGGAACTTCATTTCACATATTGGTGAAATAAGATATTGAACGTAACAGTGTTAAGCCCAGAGACAAGAAAGTATAAAAATACACACAAGAAAAGACCAAATCAATCGGAAAGTGGAGAATAATACGTTGTTTGATTGTAAGATTGGCATTGTTCGACCTGTAATACATCCTATTATTTATAAATATATGTGACAGTTAATCTTATACATTCAGACAAATATTTGTGGTTTCGAATTCGGAGCTGTGAATAGACCAGACAGAACGTTTCACTCTGGGTCATATGCACGTGTGATATTTTATGAATATCACGCACTAAGATACAGTTATACTTACGGACCATTTCGCCTTGAAATATAACTATATTTAAGTAAACTAATACACTGTTGAATACTTATATATTCATCATTTCTGTGTATTAGTCTTCGATTATACATATAGACCAAACGGTTATTCCAACACTCATTTCCATTTGAGTGATGCTATTTCAACACTCATTTTCATCTGAGTGATGCTATTTCAACACTCATTTCCATCTGAGTGATGTTATTCCAACACTCATTTCCATCTGAGTGATGTTATTCCAACACTCATTTCCATCTGAGTAAGTAATTGCATTGCGCCTTCGGTCTGTCCGACTTGTCATTTTTTTCCTCTGGTAAGGGGGAGTAACTCTAGGAACCTTACAATCGAAATGAAATATTGGCTACCTACGCAAGGGGCGTAACTTCTGCAGAGTTATTACCTTTTCGATGTTTTCACCTTTAGTCAAGGGAAATAACTTTTTTGTCCACTGATCAGGAATGAATCTGATTTACATAAAAAGCAAAAGAAAACAAAATTGATATGACAATAAACATACATCACTGCGCTTAAAACGACAGAAGTGTATCTGTTAATTAAAACGTAAAATTAACTGAAATAAAGACAGGGCATACTGATATATCAGCATATAATATTATATACAGATATACCTTAGACGCAGTTATGTGTGTGGAATTATAATTAAATCCATTTACAATGTTTCAAAACATCAGCATCTGAAATGAAAGTCAGACGGTATGAAAAGTAACAAAATCAAACGGAATGATGGGAATAAGGAAAAAAAGACAAGAAAATAATGAACAGAAGTTTCTGATTGTCTGCGAATTGTTTGTTGTTTTATACGACAAAAAGACGGAAATGACATTAGTTCAGTGAACAGCTAAGTTGTTATATGTACATATATGTTAGGCAACATTTTATGGTTTTCTCAAATGAAACATCATCAATTCACAACGAGCATTTCATTTTGTCAATCAATTTGCATCCGCGGTAAGAGCGACCTTTAATATCAGATACAATCAATATATTTTTAAGAGGGAACAAAGATAGCTAATTTTCTTATCAAAATCTGCTACAGACTATTAACTTAATGGCCTGCAAATATACATTATATAAACAGATTATCTCAAAACCAGTGTCGATCAAAATTATACTGTATCATGGCTTTTAAAACAATCACACTGATTATCTTATTTTGGAACAATGCATGAAATATCTAAGCAAATGCGAAATTGATGCAATGAAAATTGGAGATGGAGGAGTGTTACTATCGAGAGATGGAAAATCCACACCAACACAGCTTAGAGATATGTCTACTTTGTATCTTTGTTCGTAAGTAAAGATCGACCATGCTATGGAAACAGATGATGGGGTGTCGTTGATGTAAACTCCACTGGAGTTTATAAACAAATAATCCGGCTGAAATAATTAGTTTTCATTGAAAAAGTGCGATTCATAAAGGATATCCATCATTTGAACTGATCAACTCTGAAGTTCAGTCAGCTTCACAAAACCAAATCCACAAAGAGAAAGGAAAGAAAAATCAAGAAATGGACATATTTTGTTTATTGTAAAATACATAGGTTATTTCTAACTTGAATTATACCTTTACCCAGTAACTATACATGTCAACAGTGATATGTGCTTACATACAATATATATATAACACTCAGTTACGTTTTAACTTGCATAAGTTCACGCAAGACACATTGCTGTTTAATTAGAACGCCCTTGAGTTACCACATGAAAATCATGTATTAAATATAGAGATGAAGTTCGTGATAAGACAAGTCCTTGAGTAATCCACACTCGATAGATAACCCACAGTTGACTTTTAAAATACTGCCTGTTGTAATTATGAAACATCAAAAGATCTATCCTTTATTTTGAAGTGCTTTTCATTCACTTACAAACACGCCCTGATCGACACTATAGTATTGATGACTTGGGGATACAGTGCTATAGCGGTCCGTCCCTGGAATGTCGAGGATAGTAAAACGGAAACATCCATACCATTGGGAGGTTAGGTGTTTGTCGATATGGACAAACAATGTTTAATGATTTACAGAGTACACACGATGTTCGTTTAACCAAATAACTTGAGAGGATTAAAGCAGCTCGGTAAATAGAGAGCAGACAGAAAAGACCATCGATATAACGGGTCTCACTATCGACCGATGATAGCTTGTTTGTAGTCCATCTGTGTGGGGTTGTGTTTTTACTTCATTAAAAAGGAAGACTTCATCCTGACTCATTATTTGTTTTGTAAATAATTAAAGTATGATAGGAAATATCACGGCTCGTGGCACATCTAATTCATGAAACGTTTATCATTACGGAACACCTTTTTCTTCTCATCAGATAAACCGAGCTTCGTTTTTCACCATCATCTCCTCCCTTCTTTGCGTACATTTACATTGATAAGCTTGCGCTAAGTTATGAGGTTAAAGTGTTATATCAAATATCAATATGTATCATGTAATATTTAGAATATCTAGATGTGTCATGTTCCATTTAGAATATCTAGATGTGTCATGTTCCATTTAGAATATCTAGATGTGTCATGTTCCATTTAGAATATCTAGATGTGTCATGTTCCATTTAGAATATAAAGATGTGTCATGTTCCATTTAGAATATCTAGATGTGTCATGTACCATTTAGAATATCTAGATGTGTCATGTACCATTTAGAATATCTAGATGTGTCATGTTCCATTTAGAATATCTAGATGTGTCATGTTCCATTTTGAATATCTAGATGTGTCATGTTCCATTTTGAATATCTAGATGTGTCATGTTCCATTTAGAATATCTAGATGTGTCATGTTCTAGAATATCAAGATATGTCATGTAATATGTAAAATATCTAGTTGTGTGATGTACTACGTAAGATATCTAAATGTATCTTGTGTTATGTGTAATATTGAGAAATGACATGTAATATCTTAGATATCTAGATATGTCATTGCATTTAAGATATATAATGGCGGCATGTGATATATATAACATTTAGAAACGCCATGCAATATGTAAAATTTCTAGATGTGTCATGTATTATATACAATATTCAGATGTGTCATGTATTATGTAAAATATCTAGATATGTCATGAAATATATACAATATTTAGATGTGTCGTGTAATATATAGAATATCTAGATGTGTCATGAAATATGTTAAATATATATGTGTCATGTAATATATAGAATTTCTAGATGTGTCATTTATTATATACAATATTCAGATGTGTCATGTATTATGTAAAATATCTAGATGTGTCATGAAATATGTTAAATATATATGTGTCATGTAATATATAGAATATCTAGATGTGTCATGTACTACATAGAATATCTCGGTGTATTGTGCATGGTATTACCTTTGTAGGCCAAATTCTTGTATTATTTAGGGCGATATTATCTATATTTTTTCTGTACTTGCAGACAGTATCTATATAGGGGTAGGTGCATAAATAGAACTAGCGTACCATGTAAAGTATTTAACTCCCTGAGCATGATTGACTTGCGTCTTGTAGGTAAATATAATACGTTGTGTTTTATCATTATATCCTAAGCCACGAATGAAATAAGTAAAAAGAAGATTTCATGTTTGTTAGGATTTAATGACAGAACCCTGGTATACAACTTACATGGTTCTTACTTAAGAACGTGACATTAATTGAGTAAACGCTTGAGATTTTCCCCCTTGTACAACGGTTTCCATAGTTCATAATTTGCCTTCGTTTTATCGATTTTCGAGTTTTTAATAAATGTTCTGTTGAAAGGTCAATCATTTGGTTTGATATATATATGTTTAATATACTGTTCTGAAATGTACATGATAATCTGATACACATGAAAAGATTGCTGCTTGTCGTACTCAGTGGGAGTCAGTGTTTTGATTCGTCATTCTATTAATAAGGTGGGCCAATTAATGCAGGGTGTTAACGTCGTTTCTTTGGTCGATTCTTTTACAGGTCA